ACAGGACAGAGCTGAGCTATGCTCAGGAAACTGGGTTTATGGGCAACCCCACATCACAAGAAAAGGACCTAAGGGGCTAAACATGGCACTTCTAGAGGACAATGAAGAGTCAGGCTTGCTTAGAGCCAATAGTTTTTATTCTGAACAGTTATAACAACTGGAGAGACATGGATAATCCTGAGTGGCTTATTAAGTTTAACTTTATTCTGGAAGATGACTTGAGACTTTAAAGACTATGAGAACATGGGATACGGTGAAATCCATGGTCTTGGGAGAATTTCTCTGTAAACTCCTTTGGCATTCACTTCAGAAAATGGAAAATATTCTAACCCTCCCACAGGGCTCAGCAGTAAAGCAAAGTGATTAAGAGTCACAATGCCTGCCTGGGTTCATGGCCTGTCTCTGCTACCAAAAGCAGTGACACAGGGGCTAGTTACTTATACCTTTCTGGACCTTCATTTCCTCACTAAAAAAGGCTGCTATGGGGAATCCCTGAGCTCCCACCTAGAGCATGTACAGTGACCAGTAAGGATTAGATCCTCTGGTTAGAATTACCATGGGCAACTACTTACCGTAAATTATCAAAGGATATGGAAAGATATCCTGTAAGATTATTACTCAAGATTCAAGAGGGCAAAAAAGTCAATGGTCACTAAATTATGAGGTTTTTTAATACCTTGCCAAGATTGTTTCTCAATCTTCTGGTTAAGATGAAGTGTATCTTACACCCAGAAGTGTTTTTGCTGAAATGGGAAAGCTTACTGGCCAGAGAACCCAGAGAAGTTGATTCCACTGGGTAAAGTGAATCTCAGAATTTCAAGTTATCTCAAATGTACAACAAGGTGTCGGTGGCCTCAGGCAACAAATTTAGCCAGCCAAGTCTGCAATTCTATTGCTGCTATACAGTGATAGTGCACACAGCACTAGAAGTTACCCAGCGGAGCCCAAGCTGAAAAAGGGAACATACATTACTGGACACAAACTTAACTTCCTCAGGGAGATAGCTCTAAAACTCTCTAGGAACGTGGGTAAGTCTACAGATGCTGAGCTTGCTGTCCCTGCAGGACACTGCTGTCTGACAAGCTGCGAGGCCAGCCCCGTGTCATGATTGCTAGCTTTCCTACGGCACGTTGAAGGCCTCAGCACTCACTGCTAAATGATTCTTTGCCCTTCCATAATCTAGTTATCCTGTGGCTATTGGGCCTTCGGCACAACGCTAACGCCTTTGAGCATGTGGACTTCTGATTGCCGTGCCCTGTGACTGTTCCCTTCCCCCAGACTACAGCAACAGTTGGTCCTGGTTTTGTCTTTATTGGCTGATGGGTTTTTGGTTGTTCTTCATTGTCAGAGAGGCTACCACCCGCCACACTGCCTGAGATTCATTAGTGCCATCCTCTTTCCTTTGTTCCTTTCCTGTATCAGGCCTCTCCATGCTGTCCCCAGCTGCTATCTTTGTGTGACAAAGCCAACCTTCCCTGGTCATCAAACAGCTCTTCCCATCCAATCAGACCCCCTCCCCTCCCTTCTCATGGGACACCTGTGCTCATCAGGTCCTGAGTGCTTGTCAAGGACTTGGGACTGCCTACTTGTGACCAAAAAGCATGGGATTAGAACCCAGAGAATCCAGGTCAGTTACCATTCTGCCACTTACTAGCTGTGTGACTTTGGGTAAACATGCACTTCAGTATCCTCTTAGGTACAAGAGGCGTATCACCTATTTTTCAACAGGCGTGATAAGGAGTAAATGAGTGCGTGAAAGGGTAAAACCAAAGGCTACTGGGAATGATTTCAGCTCCTTCTAGGAATGAAGAAGTCATGAGAGCACTGGGAGGCTGGCCTCCAGAGAGCCACGATTTTCCTTTATTTAATCTATTAAAAGCCTGAGAAGAATTCTGAACCTTGTCCCCAAATAAGCTCTGCAGAACAATAACATCTCTTGAACTAACCATATTTATATAGCCCTCTTCAATTTAAGAAATTTATCATTTATGGCTGGAATGTCATCTGAATCAGATGTCTCAAATATCATTTTTCTAATTAAAAATGCAGATTAAAAAAAAATTAAATCACCCATAATCCCACCACCAAGAGAAAAAAAACATTAACATTTTAGTGAATCTCTTTCTATGCCTTTTCTGATTAGTTTTTTAAAAATACATGTAATGTAGTGCATATTTATATTTATGTACATATTTGGCAACTAATCTTTTCCATGTAATGATATATCAAACATTTCCCCAAACTTCCATCTCTCAGTTTTCAAAATGAAGGGTATTTTGAATCTATTTCATGATTATTCACATATGGACATAATACACCAACAGAAAGTTTTATATATTGAACTTTCTGGCTAATTTTAGAATCCCCAGAGAAAGTTAAATGTTTACAATAAAAAAAGTTTTATGTGGGGCACCTGGGTGGCTCAGTCGTTAAGCGTCTGCCTTCGGCTCAGGTCATGATCCCAGGGTACTGGGATCGAGTCCCACATCAGGATTCCTGCTCGGCGGGAAGCCTGCTTCTCCCTCTCCCACTCCCCCTGCTTGTGTTCCTGCTCTCGCTATCTCTCTTTCTGTCAAATAAATAAATAAAAAATCTTAAAAAAAAAAAAAGTTTTGTGTTGGTAAAATTCAAGTAATGAGTAAATGTAAGATACTAAAGAATAAACTAAGCATACATAAGCAAATTCAATAGTATAAATACTATGTAGATCATACCGTCTAGAATGCCACATTTTTCTCCAACTGACACATTTTTTTAGATATACTTAGGGTGCTAACAAATTAAGAGGAACCATGAATAAGACAGTCTTATGGGTAACTGATCAGAATTATTGCCTTCATTCAAACCTGCATCAGAAATACAGAAACACTGTGTTCTAGGAGGAAAAAAAAAACACAATAAAATTTAAGATTCTGTAAAGTGATAATCTACTTTATATTCATGTGTCAGTATAAACTAAGCAGTGGTCTTAAACTGAAAAAAACAGGAAACACTGATTGTTACAGCTCACCTACAACTTTAAGGAGCTCTACAAAAACATGGGTGTTACTCATTTCAATATGAAGACAATAAAGGCAAGAAAAGACCAAAGATCTTTCCTACCTTTTTAAAGATTTTATTTGTTTGAGAGAAAGAGGGTGAGCACGGGAGCACAAGCAGAGGGGGAGGGGCAAAGGGAGAGGGAGAAGCGGACTCCCCTCTGAGCAGGGAGCCGGATGCAGGACTCGATCCCAGGACCCTGGGATTGTGACCTGAGCTGAAGGCACACACTTAACCAACTGAGCCACCCAGCCGTCCCGATCCCTCCTACTTTTAATAAATTTGAGGGACTACTGACAAAATGGACTCTTAAAAACCATTACTGATCTTTTGCCCTTAGACAAATACTGGTATGCATTTTCTGTTTTAAAATATTTATGCCAGGGGTGCCTGGGTGGCTCAGGGCAAGATGTGTCGTAGGATCGAGCCCCATGTCAGGCTCCATGCTCAGCACAGAGTCTGCTTGAGATTCTCTCTCTCCCTTCCTCTGCCCCTCCCCCCACTCACTCGCTTTCTCTTAAGTATTTTTTTAAAATTATTTATGCCAAAGAGAGAGATCAGACAGCCAAACTCAGGAGAACTTCTATAAACCAAAGAGAGAAAAACAATGAATGAAAGATTTCAACAGTCAAGTCACACAAGAAATTCAAATGGTCTACTAATAGGAAAATACATTCAACATCACTAATAAGGCCTGCAAATTTTTTTTTTTAAAGATTTTTTTTTTTTATTTGACAGACAGCAAGAGAGGAAACACAAGCAGAGGGAGTGGGAGAGAGAGAAGCAGGCTTCCCGCAGAGCAGGGAGCCCAATGCGGGGCTCGATCACAGGACCCCAGGATCATGACCTGAGCTGAAGGCAGACGCTTAACGACTGAGCCACCCAGGCGCCCCTAAAGCATGCAAATTTAAACAAGAGACTATTTCTGCATATCAAATTGGCAAGAAAATAAATGGAGAAAAATATGGAAAATGAACACTACCAAACACTCGGAGGGCAATCCGGCAGTAATACCAAAATTTTAAATAAGCATGTCCTTGCAGCAAAATCCCACTTTTATATATTTCTCCTAGAGAAATAGTAACCTAAGGCATGAAGACATGTACAACCATGTTCACAGAAATATTATTTGTAACCTGCAAAAAGGAAAATATCTGAAACACCTAAATCGACTTATCATTTAGAGAATAGTTACATCACCTATGCTTTGTTCACACTATGAAAGGTCACTCAGCCTTCAAAAGGAGGACATGGACATTAAATAACACAGCAGGGTGTTTACAATGTGTCACTCCATGAAAAACAAAGCCAACTGCAGAACCATATGTATGGTAGGATCCCGTTTGCCGTAGAAAACAAAAATAACACAAGTGATAGTTTATTTTCATTTTAAAAACTTATTTGAGGGGCGCCTGGGTGGCTCAGTCGGTTAAGCGGCTGCCTTCGGCTCAGGTCATGATCCTGGAGTCCCGGGATCGAGTCCCGCATCGGGCTCCCTGCTCGGCGGGGAGTTTGCTTCTCCCTCTCCCTCTGCCTGCCTCTCTGCCTACTTGTTCTATCTGTCAAATAAATAAATAAAATCTTAAAAAAAAAAAAAAAAACTTATTTGAGTATGTATAGAAAATGATCCGGAAGGAGAAACTGTTTCTAGTGATTCTCCCTGGGGTTATGAATATGTGATGGCAAGAGACGGGAACTAAGTTTTTATTTTATAACTTTCCCTGTTGTTTGAATTTTTTTTATGAACAATTATATCACTTTTATAATTTAAAAAATTACCAATAAGGGGGGAGTTCTCTCAAAAAATTAAAATGCAACATATTGTCAGAGTAAAATTTAAAAAGTACCTCAGCACACGGCCCAGGAAGTTAGGGAGTTATCTGCTCAATAAGTAAGCTGGAGAATTAAGGCATCATCTTCAATAGAATGACTAAGCATCAGATGTGAACAATCAGCTTACCTCTTTAGGTGATAGATTTTGTGTGTATACTGTCCCTTTTCTCCATCCTTCTCATAAGGTTCATTTTTTAAGACTTCAATTCCTTCTCCACCACCAGTTTCATTCTTACTAGCTTCTGCAACAGAGTAAAGCTGCCCAACCTGATACTGGAATTTCAGAGCACAGAATTTCATTAAGCCAGTAGTACCTGTGGAAATTTCCTATGCTAACATCTTACCATATATGATATAGAAAAGCTTGTCCAAATCATTCAGCACATCTGTTCCATATGAAAACATGACTCAAGTTAAAAATTAATGTTTAGGAAGATTAAACACTAGGTGATCATACAGTTTCAACAAACTCTAATATTTTACAAGATTTCCATGATTTGAGAAAACTGCTAGTTACAAATACTCTGGGGTGCCTTCATATGTACTACCCACTTATCAAGAAAACACCTTGATGCTTGGCCCAGCTTTTTGTATAATATATATTTTTTTCCAAAGCACTTTCATGTCTATTCTATCTCATTTAATTTCACAAAATTCTGGAAAAAAAAAAAAAAAGGCATGAAGGAATAGAATTGTTACTCTGCTAATTAAGAAAGATGAGCAACCAGAATACCACTGTCAATGATAAAGAGGAGGTATATAAAGTGTAATTTAAAAGCCTGAAAATACAAAGAACCATTACAGTCCAAATTTTAGTAGACCTCTGGGGTCTTTTTTCCAACGACTTATGCCTGACATGCCCAATTTAGCCCTTGTCCACCTCAAGAGAATCGATACTGGATACCCAGGATCAAAACTGTTAACTGTAAAGTTCTCCAATAAACACAAACTGTTTTTAAAGTATTACAAATACACAAGAATTACTATAAAAGGCAAGAAATTGCTGACAGTGGCTTCTATTTCATTTTAAAGTGAACCAGAATCCTCAATGGCCTGAACCAATACCTGTGAGTGGGCAGTATTGTTCTGTGCCAATCTGGAGCTGCTAACAGTTCCAACAAATAATAAAAGGCAAAGTTCTCATGTTCTAATTTGTTCTAGTGACTCAACCATGGCATGGTCTCCAATCTCTTCAAATTTGGCTAAATCTCTTCCTCCAGGTGAGGACAGCCTGAAGAAATGCTTTTCTTTGTTTTTAAGCACATTTTCAAAGAAAAGCTATCTCTAAAAATGAAATTACTGAAAATGAACATTTTATTTGAGACAAAAAACAGGAGTAGTTGTAAACTCAGTCAATATTTATATTTATAAAGTCCATGGGAATATGACACTATCTTGAAGGTTAATTTAAACACATACTAACTCAATCACTCAATTTGGGTTTAGGAAGCTAGAACCAAACACACTTCTTAAAAGCAACAAAGATAATTTCTGTAGGGATTTTAGACTGCAGAGAGAGTGTATTTCTTCTCTGGTTTTTGTGATACAACACCAGATTAGTCCAATAATGCTACAATCCTTAAGTCCTTTAAAATGTACTTTTCAACACTGTCGTGTTCTTAAAAGATGATTAAAATGTCTCTAAATCAAAAGGTAAATTTAATCTTGGTCAGGAACAAAGTAACAGAACTTTACAAAGAAACAACTAAACAACAGTATCCAAAAAAAATGTTATTAATGAACTGATATTTTGTGGCATGCCACTAGCCTTTCATTCTCATTTTTAAGACTAATTTAAATAGAGACAGAAGACATGTTTAGTTAAGTCTGAATAGAAGAAAAAGCTGAGATTATTTTCAGTGACAACACCAAGTCAGAAAGATTTCAACAAGTTGATCCAACTAACTGAAACAAAAGAAAAAATTTAACAAAAACAAATGTCAATTTCCACATTCAAGTTCAAACAATCAACTGCACAAGGAAAGCATAGGGATGCCTGGTTTGTCTTGAGTGTTTTAATATGGGGAAACCTCAAGCACTACTGAGATACATACAGCTAAGTTCAAGTCTACTTTAAGCTGTGCCAGACAGCTACTCATTTGTAGTTCCTGCATTTTGGGTTTGTTTGTTTTTTTTCTCCTTTCTGTCTTCTGTCAGATGTCACTTCTTAGGTTATCAAGTTTGTTTTGTCCCACTTCTAATTCACTGCTTCTAATCTACTGTCAGCTCCAGGAAAACCAGATAACTGAGCAAGTGCAAACTGTGTGCAAGTTACAGAACGACCCAGAGGGCTTTGTGGGTTTGCTACACATACCACATACCTCAGTTTCTCTGCTTTTGTCTTCCTTCCCGGCTCTACCACAAATAGCTACAACCGAAGGACACGCAAGTTCTGAACAGATAGTGTATTTCTGTATCATGTGCAGATCAAGGGAGACAATAATCTCTCACAGTTACATGCTGGTCAGACCACGTCTGGAATACTGTTTTCAGTTAAGAGCAACAACTACAACACAAGCGGTAGTTAGACCAGCTGTGAGGAAGTCTAGAGGTCATGTTATACTAGGCCAAATGAACATGCTGGGAATGTTTAACCCTGTGACCTCATGTAAAGAAGATGGAACAAAAGAACTTGAAGGCAGGAGAGAGAATGGCCAAAAGAAAACCTGAAGGGCTACCATATGCCAGACAGAATAGGCTTATTTCCCACTGCACAAGTGGAAGGAACTGTAAACAACAAACATTATAGGAAAGCAAATTTTGGCTTAAAGACAAATGTTTAAAATATCCAACAGTAAAACAGACTTCCTCTAAGCAGCAAGTTACTTAGCCTTGAAGTGCTTTGTTGAGGCTGGAACCTCCTTTCTCTGGGATACTGTAGCCAGAAATCCTGAACTGGGAAGAAGATTAAACTACATTCTTTAGAGCCTTCTGAAACAAGGCAGTGTAACAGAATTCATTTACAATGAATTATCTGTAATACACCACAATTCATTTTGTCACAAACTGGAATATGAAGGTAAGTAAATACAACTTTAAATTGTATGACTTTAAATATGACTTTAAATTAACATATTGAAATAAGCTATATCAACAAAATAATACAGAAAAAAGCAAGACTTACCTCCTGAACAGAACATGGCAAAACCACACGGCTAAAACAACAAAAGAAAAAAAAATGTCACGTATGAAATATTTGGCTTTAAAACACAGGTCTCTACACTTAGAACTTTTGCTTAAATCCAATGATGGCGTAATACAAGGATGTCATTGTCTTTACAATGCCTACAGCTCTAAATAAGAATTTTTAAATTGGGGAAATAAAACTACCATTTGCGGGCCTCAATGATCACTCCCATTTAGTGTTCTCATTGTACCAGGACCCCAAAAACGCAGTTGCAGAGATTCTTGTGAGGATAAAAGGAACAAGAGAAAACTCATCACTGAAAATTACAGGGTACCGAATACATTATTTTTAGACTGTCTAGTCAGGTTGCCCTCATGAAATTTTTAGTATGGTTTCATTCTCCATCTATATGCTACATATTTTGTTTTTATGATATTTCTCATAGAATATATGTCTTGAATCTCATGAATGAATGCTTCCAAAAATTGTTCCCCACTACCCGATTATTCCTCAGTTTTATTTACCAAGGGAAATACTTTGAACCTTAGAAATAGAACCCCTTCCAGGGCAGATGCAATATAAGGTTGATTGGTGTTTGATCTTGTCCAAGAGTTTGTTACTAGACCAACAAAAGGACTGAGATGGAGGCATAATACCCCAGAATATATAATTCAAAAAAAATAATATTATGGTAAATTATATCAGAATATTGTACTTTATCACCAGATTTTTATAGGGAAGTACCTTCACTTATCTCTAGCATAAACTCTGAAAATCCCTGAATATCAATTATCTCACAATAATAGCTGGTGTCCAAGATAGCAACTTCTTTTTTTGGCCTGTTCTTTCTCAGACTTTTCCCTGCTAAAGGTACCAAAGCACTGTTATGTAAACTTTCATTTTAACTCTCTATTATAATGAGAGGGAAAAAAACCCCACAACCTTCACCTTGATTTTCATTTTACAGAAAATTCCCAATAGTTTTTCCTCATTCCAACTTTTCTTCAGCTGCACTGTCCACCCACCCCTCTCTCCCTATTCTCCTCAAACATCTATGCCTGAGTCCTCACATCACCTTGATCTCCAACATGTATAAAACATGCCTCCTGTTATTCTCCCCTCCTTCACTATCAGGGGTCACTCATCACTCTTTGTCTTTCTGATAATGGTCACCTAAAGACAACGAACATTCTCAAACACCATGATTACTAATTCCTATTCTCATAAAAAATAAACCTGTTATACAAAAATCCTTGCATACCTAATCCTTTTAACTGTCTTCTCAGAGTACACACTGATTTGCTCACTGTCCCAGGAAGAGAAAATAAACTGGGGCCAAGAGGGTGTGGTGGGGGGAGAGGCAGACTAGGATATAGAGGCTGAGAGCTTATTCTGGAAGATAAAGAAAGATATAGACAGAGATATAGGTTGGGAGCATATTTTTAGGGCCTGGAATACAATGATAAGAAATCTATTACATTTATTAGGCAACAAGGAATCCAGGAAGGTTGTTCCAAAAGGGAAGTGACATGACTACAGCCAATCTAAAGAAGTCATCTGTAGCTGGTTAAAAAACATTGAGAGGCAGGAGTGTGGGGAATAACCATCTTTGAGGAGGCTGGGCAAGGGTTTACAAAGGCCTGAACCAAGATGACGGGCTGCAGAAGAAATGGAAGGAATAGAGAGGAAAGAGTTAAAGACTTCCCGGAACTTTCACAAAACCAAAGAATCACTGCTGAGTAATTTTAACAACTACTCACTAGTGGGAAGAACCTATTTTTATATAACAACACTTCAAGCAAAACTTATTTCACAAAATCAAAGTGACTGAAGAAGACATTCTGGATGAATAATGAGTCAAATAAATTCTTCAAGATTTGCTTAATGAAAAGTAAAAGGAACAGACAGACTTTGATTTTTTTTTTTCTCAAAGCCTTATTCAACTTTTACAACAATTTGAAAATTTTCAAAATTCTCTGAAAATCCTCAGGAAAATAATCTTCCAAATGGAACTAACAACTAGTTCTTTAGAACTAGGACTTTATACTAATGGCAACTTCATCTATTGCTTAAATAACAAATTAAAGGGAACTCCCCCACCCTGAAAAGTCATTTCTAACCTTTTAATTTATGTCAAAAATAGATGGCATTTTTTAAAACAACAAACATTTACCAAAGTATTTTACAGTTTAACATCTTCACATAGGAATGACCTATTCATTGCTCCTAACCAAAAACGATTTTAGAAAGTTGACTTGAAAATAGGAAGAATCATTTTTTTCATTCAACAACACTGAGCACTTACAGGATGGTGGCCTAGATGCTATGCCGGGTACTAGAAATAAGATAAAAACAGCCTCTGCTTTCAAAAAGTCTAAAAGGAGGAAAAAAAAAAAAAAAAAAGTCTAGGGAGACATACATGAAGAGTGAACATCAAGAAATGTAATTTATAACTCCTTACGAAAAAAATTACATTTGGGCACATTTCAGCACGTGTTACCTTGGCGCACTGAAATTTTTATAATGAAAGTAACGGTTTCACAAAAAGCATATCATGCAAATTCCCAATGGGAACTTCTTTCCATGAGTTAGCTTGATACTCCTCACATAACCGTCAAAGGGATCTACTGAACACTTAATTCACATTTTAGAAGGGAGGAAATACTCTAATAAAAATGACGAGATCTATGATGTAAGATCAGTTCTGCAACTCACTTGCTATGTGACTTGGGCCAAGTCAATTTCCTTCTGTCTTGTTTCCTCCATTTGTCTTAATATCTGCCACCTACCTACATTACAAAGATGTCAGAGTAAAAAATAAAACTTTCATGATACATTGTATAAACAGCTTGGAAGAAAAACTTTATATAAATCCAGAATTCAATACTATAAACTTTATCCAAAAATGTGTCTTTTCTCAGGATCCCTGTCACTGACTAAAGTTGTTAATTTTTCATTAACTTAACAAGTACTTATTGAGCCCTCACTATGCTCCAAGGACTATTCTAAGAGTTGAGAATATGGAAGTGAACAAAGTAGACAAATTCATGGAGCCCGCATGTAGCAAGAGAATACATGTAGTAAAATAGAAAAAAAAAAGTGACTGTATTGTATGTTAGATGGTGATAATTGCTACACACAACAATAATGCGGGAAAGGCAAATACCAAACAGTGGGGGTTGCAATTAGATCTTCAGAGGGACTCCCAAAGAAGCTGATACTTAAGCAAAGACCTGAAGGAGGTAGGTTAGTGAGATGAGGGAAGGGCACTTCACGCAGAGGGAACAGCAAGCAGAAAGGCCCTGAACTGAGCTTTTTCCCTGAAGTAATGAAATAACTATAAGAAAGCTTGAGCTGGAAATGGACACGGGCACGTGCAGGGTAGTAAATATGACCAAAGCAGAAGAGAAAATAGTGTAAGACCTCGTGGGCTATTTTAAGGACTTTTTAAATTCACAATGAGATAGGGAGGCTTTGGAGGGTTTTAAGCAGAGAAGTGACAGTAGTGACTTTCTAAAGGAAGTTTGAGAACACTAAAGATAAGGTGTCTTAAGATAACTAAATGAAGCCAAAATTTACGTTTAAGAATTTAAAGTGAGAAGAGCATTTGAAAAACCAAAGAACAGGCCATACTCGAAATCCCTAGCTGCCCACAGGATGCTGACGATACGAACCAGCTGTGACAACTCAACATCATGGCTAAACATTTCCTGTGATAGTTACAGTGCTTGCCGGTGGGAAATGCCATAACTTTTCAGTAAAATCACTCCGCCGGTCTAATGCACCTGAAAACCCTTCCATTTGACAGGCCACGTGTTAACAATTCTTCACGTCAACCCCGTGAAGTAGGTGGAACCCAGTGTCACCCCATCTTAAAGATGTGAAAACTGAGACTCAAAGCAGAGAGACGGCTCTCCTGATTAAGTCAACTGAGCCGCCCTGAGGAGCGCAGTTTTTCCGAACTCCCAGCTCCTGCTTGAACTTCAGGGCGCCTACGTCCCACCTCGAGTCCCGACACCGGGGCTGTCTTCACCTGGCAAACCCATCTTCCGCGGGCTACAGGTAAGCTCCACCCCCACACGACAAATCACTGTCAGACCCACCGCGCCTCCCCACCCTCGGGCTCCGACTCGGCCCCTGGCTCGGTCCTCCCGGGCGGGCGTGCGGGTGGGCCCAGGCTGGGACTGGAGGTGGGGGGTGGGGAGAAGGCGGGTCCCAGCGGAAACTCCCGGCCTCGCCTTCCGAGCCACGCGCTCCGACCCGGACCCAGGCGCCTCCGCCCCAGGGGAGTGGGCGGCGGTATTACCACGGCAACGCCAGGGGAGGGAGTCTGGGGGCGCGCAAAGGTGAGGCCTTCAGTGGGCCGGGGGCGCGAGCCGGGGGGAGGGGGCGCGCGCAGGGAGCGGCCAGCCAGAGGCTCGCTCCTTTCTAGGAATATTCCGCTTCCGCCACTTCTCAATCAGTGAGCCTCCCACCACCGCCGTTGGGTAACCTTGCTCGCGCCCACCGACCCACTCACAATTCCTTAATCAGCACCATCTTCCCGGAACCCCCTCACAGCTGCCGCCGCTACCGCCGCCACCGCCGCCGCTACCGCCCCTCACGGCGCCTGCGCGGCGCCGCCTCCTTACCCCCTTCACCAAACCACCGCGGCGCCTGCGCGTCCACACCCTTCCGCCGCTACTCGTCGCGTCAGCGCGCGCTAAGGGCTAGCTCCGCCCTAGTCTCGCGCCCCACCCTGGGCTCGCGGAGCTTCCACTGCGGTTGCGCGTCTGGCTCATGGTGGGGGCCGTAAAGTTTCTACTGCTGCTGCGCACACTAGGCGCGCGCTCGCGAGTGCCGTTCTTGCGGCTCCTCCCTCCAGTCAAGTTCCGTCGGGGCGTGTGTGCAGCTTACGCTCTTTGGTGAGTTTTCCAATCAGTCCTCTGAAGTCGTTTCCTCGTGACCAGCGCTAAACTTTGTCCCACTGCTTTTGAGAAGAGGTTCTCTCCTTGAACTCTCACTCCGAGGTCCACGTGGAAGACTTGTGTCGGGTTGGGTAGGCCGACGCCACCGCGTTCTGCTCCGGTGGCGGGCTCCGTCGGATTCCGGGGGACCGAGGCTTAACTGGCTCGCAGCTCACGTGCATATTCCGACAGCCTCGTGAGTGCAGCCATGTGACCGTTGCTCACCTGGCTAGGGCCAGCAGCTGTGGCCCCACCAGCTCCCCAGCCCCCGAATCCACCCCAGAATCCAGTGACTCGACGGGAGGAGCGCCCTCCACTGGCGACGAGGTCCCCTGTGGGGGCAAGGGGTGCTCGCCCGTAAGACCCAGGAAGGGGACCTGGCTGGGAGGGCGGTCGCGCAGCCACAGTGAGAGCCCGCGCGACCACCCTCACCCAGGGTCCTACCTGCCTGAAAGCCAAAAAGGTGGACCTTCGGATGAGTGGTGGCCCCGGGGGTCACTCGCTTACTCTGTGCCAGGCACAGTTCCGGGCACTGGGGATATATCTGGAAACAAAATTCGCACGGTCCCTGACCTCCCTTGGGAACAAATCAGTAAGAGAGGATTTGGTTTAGCGGTAAGCGCTATTCCATGAATGAACGAAACAGGGTAATAGAGGAGGCAGAGGCGTCAAGGGAAGGCTCTCAGGAGGCCATGGCCTATGGTTATGAACAGCCCAGCCTGTGAAGGTGGTGGGGGAGACCCTCCAGTTGGAGGGAGATAGCCCCTGAGGCTGGAATAAGTTTGGAGTATTTGAGGGGCAGGTGGAGGGTAGGTGTGGCTAGAACATTTTAAATGAGAGGGGAAGATAAGTTGGGACTAAATAGGTCACTAGGCCATAGTAAAGAACTTGAATTGTATTCTGAGAACCATGGGAAGCTGTTAGAAGGTTATCAGAAGAATAAAATAAACATTAAAAATGTTTGATATAAATCTGTATGGTGTATCGGGTTCTAGAAGACACCCAGTGGAATTAGGGCTACCTCAAAAGTAATATAAACGAGATACTTACCAAAAGCTAGAGATTTCCTCCTAAGGCAGTATCTGGGGATCATTTCTGTGATGCGTGAAGCACTTTGCTAGTTATAATGACGACCATTCAAGGAAATGTGCCCTTTACGGATGTTAGAAGTTGGGAGTAGCTTCCATCTATTGGGCACCTATCATATGCCAGGTACTGTGCTAGGTAATGGAGATGCTTTATCTCATTTCATCCTGAGAGCAAGGCAATGAGATAGGTATTTTAGCATGTTTTAGAAAGGAAAGAAAATGAGGTTCAGGGAGCCAAATAAAGTGACCTATGCAGAAGTCATTCAGCCAGCTTGTTTACAGAACCAGGTTTCAAATCTGGGTTTTAACTTCAAAGTCTGGTCTTTCCACTGCACTGAGGGTTTTTTTTTGAAAAAAATGAATAGGAAGTTGGGGCATGCAGACAATGTATGACAAATAATTGTTCTCAATTATGGGAAGAAGGTGGTTATGGTCAAAATCTACAAGTTACTTAGAATAAAATACAAATTTGAATAGTATGTGTGTGTGTGTGATATTTTTTAAGGTCGAAGGAGGTAATATTAATTGTCAAACTTGTAAGTAGTCATTTTATGTCATAATTTCTCCCAAAATGTTATGCAGGGTGAAAATACAGCTTTAAAAACTTCGTGGATGAATTCGTGGTTGACGTGCTTTATCAATCATTAAGAAAAATTTAGGATGTTGTGTAACTTTTCTTGAAGTTTTCCCACAAGTGTTCGTTAATTCCACTGTCTGCATAGCACAGTTGCTGCTCATAGTTAGTACTCAAATGTTTGTAAAATAAAGAGACTGTGCTAGATGGAGCATAACTCTGAACCATTATACAGTGTGGATAATGTTTCCCTTTGCCATCCAAAGATTGATATTAAAACATTCAGGAGCACCTGGCTGGCTCAGTTGGTACAGCATGTGACTCTCGATCTTAGGTTTGTGAGTTCGAGCCCCACGTTGGGTGTAGAGATTACTTAAAGGAAATAAAATCTTAAACACCCAAGTTTCTGGGGCACCTGGGTGGCTCAGTTGGTTAAGTGTCAGACTCTTGATTTTGCTCAGGTCATGATCTCAGGGTCGTGAGCTGAGCATGGAGTCTGCTTGGGATTCTCTCTCTCCCTCTCCCTCTCTTCTCCCCTCTTGTGCTCTCTCAAAAAAAGAAAAGTATAAAACATTGAATACAAACTACAAGGATAAATTAAGAAAGTAACCAGTTTAGACATATTGATTGAGGGGGAAAAAATACTAATTCAAAGTTAGCTAGGTTGGTAGAAAACATGAAATCTAGTTATTGTGCTTTCTATCTGCCTAGGAGATAAAAGTGGGAGAATGAGGGAATATTGAAGAGGACTAGAGAGCAGCAAAGACATGAACCATTACCCCAAAATGAGAAAGGAAGACATACAAAGAAAAAGATCATTACAAATAAAAAATAAACTAACGGACTGTGTGGCATGTTCTTATTTTAAAACTAAAGATGTTAGATCTTGTGCATTTTGCAAATATGGGCATAATATGGGATATAACTTATTAGTAATTGTTTCTGGGTATAGAAAAAAATCCAACATCTTTTAAGCCTAATGTTTCTTGTTCTTTGTTCTAACTTTCAGCCCTCAACAAAGGTAACTTTACACACAAGATGTGCAATTGCATTTAACTAATTCTGCACACCTTGTATAATCAACAATCTCATTTCTGTCATTCTGGAGCAAAGAGGTCATTATAGTAAGAATAATGGTAGATTTATTGAGGCAGATCAAAAGATTTCTGACCATGAGCAATGTTTGGAACACTTATGCACTAGTTGATAAAGTACGACTCTGGTCAAAGAAATTCAGACGGTCTTTCAAATATTATAATTCAGTTTCCCCCCTTTTTTTCCTAAAGCAGACGTTCTTAACCAAAGGCTTTTTGGTGGGTGTTAGGGAATTTGTGAACCACTGAAATTACATAATTTTATGTCCATCTTTCCGGGGAGAGAAGTCTATAGCTTACATTGTCTTGCTTATTCTGCATTTTGCCATCCTATTTTTACCTTCTTCCCATTCTAGAATTATCTTGGTTGAGACTATTTCTATGAAAACTAGAAATATTCCCAAGAATGCTTTAATTTTGTCAAACCTTAGGGCATCGGCCATAATATTTTGCCACCTTTGGGGACATAGGATTGGGCTTTGCAGTAGAAAACCCTTGGCCTGAATCCAGGCTCAGCCACTTGCTGTCTATGTACCTTGAGTAAATTATTTAATCTCTCAGAGACACTATCTCTACAAGGAAAATCTATAACAAATTTGTTGTGAGGAATAAAAGGTATGAAGTGTGAAAAGAACCTCTCTCTTACTACCTGATACATAATAGGTGTTCGATGAATGGGAATCATTTGAAAGCATCTAGCTTTCAGAGAACAGAACACTAAATTAATATATAACTAAGTTCCTCCCATCCATCTCCCTTCATTCCTAGAGGTAGCTACTATCTGTAATCACTGTTCATCCTAATGTATGAATAAGAATGCATATCTGAATGCATATATTCCTGTATGTATCCATAAATGACTATAGTAACTTACCCTTTCATCTGCAGAGTATAATATAGATTTCTGTTCTGTATCATCACCAACATTGGGTATTGTCAGAATTTTTCATTTTTGCCGCTTTTATTGGCTTTAGAATGCTATCTCACATATTCACTTGGCATTTCCCCGCAGTGTCAGGATCTCCATGCTTACTGTCCATGTTCTTATTTGCTCATTTTCCTATTGGTTTTGTTTTCCTCTTTTTGATTTATAGAAGAATATATACATAGCCATTTTGGATTTTTAATTCTGTTTTGATTATATGCACTTTGTATACATATTTTCTATCTGTGGATTGTTATATCACTTTGTTTGTAGCAGGGTTTCTCACTCTCTACAGTACTGACATTTTGGGTTAGATTATACTTTGTTGTGGAGACTATTCTGTGTCTTGTAGGATGTTTAGCAGCATCCCTTGCCTCTATTCACTAGATGCCAGTAGCATCTCTCCAGTCATGACAATCAAAAATTTCTCCAGACAGTGCCGAGTATCCCCTGGGGGGCAAAATTGCCCCTGATTGAAAACCACTGGTTTATAATGACTCTGTTGTACAGTTATTTATCTTTAAGAAAATTTTATCCCACTAACATTTTTTTGAATATATATTATATCCCAGTCCCTGTGTGTTTCACATGACTTAACCCTAACCTATTTACTCATCACAGCACATGTAAAATAGATACTATTATTATCCCTATTTTATAAAGGAGAAATCTTGTTTATGTCTTATAATGTGCAGAAAATGTTAAACAACTGTACTAAGCTATAATTTACATACAGTAAAATGCATCATTTTAAATATACAGTTTTAAGAGTTATGTCAAATAGATACTTTGATAATACAGCAATCAAGGTGCAAGACATCTCCATTTCTATAAAAGGTTTCCATGTGCCCCTTTCCTGTCAGTCACCCACACTCCCAGGCCCAGGCATGCTTGGAACTGCTTTCAGTAACTATAAATTAGACTTGTTTTTGTTTTTGTTTTTTTTGAGTATCATATCATCGAATCATATAGTGTGTACTTTTTTGTATCTGGCTTGCTT